TTCATAAAGTCTATATTTATATAAAAAAAATTATATGGAAAAAAGTTTCTTCCACCTCAATTTGTTATTTAGCATTTATTTGTATTCATCTTAATCTTTCAAAAACCAGAATTTGCACATATTTTGTCTGTAGGATGACATCATTTGGGAATATTAAGTCACATGCGTCCGATCAGTTAGTATTTTATCAATCTCTGTGAAACAGTATGGTTGTGTTTTTTTCTAAGTAGGGGGAGAAACTTGTTAGTTAGTTTGGACCTGAATAAATGAATATCAGGTTTAAAAAATGTGTTAGAGTCTGCAATAGAGTTAAAAACGGGGGTGGAGTTTCACCTTGAATTAACTTGAATTGAATGAGATAATTATCACCATTTTAGGTTCTTTCTTTTTTTTTTAAAAAAAAAAAAACACTAAAATTATGCATCTTTTAATAAAATGCTATAAAACCCCCATGCAAACAGAAGTGCTCTGACGACATTAACAGCCAGCGAAGATGCAAGTCAGCTTTCCTCCAAGTCAATTTTTCTCCAGGTCATAACATATTTATTTCCGAACCCATTTGTAAGTCATCCGTGTTCTGAAGCTGTTGGGACTTTGCTCGCTCGAGCAGAAGCAGGGTGCAGACAGAACTCAAAGGGAGACGAACACCCTCCTCGAAACGCCTGCACCAGTCAGTCCGCCTGCTTGAGAGATCCGTGGGGATCAGGAGGCAAATCAGGAAAGACTTCTTTCCTGACTGCCCATCGCTTTCACTGATCAAAGCCAGGGGCTGTTCATATGAAAAGCAATCACAACAGTCAATGCTTACATAACCCCTTTTGTTTAAATATATATTCCATTTAAGGAAAGTGTGAGATGAGACATGGTACAGGCACACCATCGCATCTCATTTAATCTGACTGAATACACGAGGCGTCTCGTGTTGCTCTTAGTGTGATATTTCAACATGAACAGAGAAGTCCCCAAGTGTAAATGAGGGAATTCTCATTAAACAATTACAGAGCGCGCTAAAGTGATGCAAAAGCGTCTTAGAGATGCAGCACACCTAAACCATTTTGCAGCATGTGACAGAATGTGTAACTGTTACTGTACAAAGTGTTAAATCTTAATATTGCAGTGCAAGATTTTGACCTAAAAAAGATTTTCTAGGATTTGTGCTGGAATTAAATCACATCTTTAATGATATCTTATATTTTGATAAATAAACCCCTGAACCTGGCAAGGTTTAGGGGTTTTCCTTCTCCACTTGTGGAATGAATAAGCCTCTGAGTCACCAGCAACTCTTACCTGCCAAAGCGCTTCAGGCAAAGTTTATGGCCGCAGGCTTACAGTGCCTGATAATCGCTGAGAAACAATACGCACACGGAGTCCAGGAACCGCCTCTTCTCTGAAAACTGACGAGCTGGTCTCAAGTTCTGTAACCAAGGCAAATTTGGCAATCTATCAGCAAAACAGAAGAAAATAAATCAAGGTGATCACAAGTTGTAAAACACATAAACCTCTTATGTTGTGTTAGTGAGGATGTCGAGATGATTTTCCCAACTGGTTGTTTTAAAATCAGTCAAGTTCCCATTAAAAAAGAAAAGCGACAGACTTTCACCTTTTACGTAAATCATTCTGCTGTGGTAGCATCGCTTTCCTTTTACTTTCTCCAAATGACAAGTGGATAAAGATTTTACGCAAAGTCACGTCTCTTTTAGATGAGACTAAATCCATAAGCTATGACATCGAAGCAGGCTGCACAGTGCATTAGTTGGTAGCACTGTTGCCTTGCACCAAGAAGATTCTGGGTTCGATTCCTGGCCCGGGGCCTTTCTGCATGGAGTTTGCATGCTCTCCCAGTGCATGCTTAGGTTCTCTCCGGGTACTCTGGCTTCCTCCCACAGTCCAAAAACATGACTGTTAGGTTCATCGGTCTCTCTAAATTCTCTGCGATAGACTGGAGACCTGTCCAGGGGGTACTCCGCCTCTCGCCCGGAACATTTGCTAGAGACTGGCACCAGCACCTCCTAACCCCGTTAGGGACAAGGGTGTTAGAAAATGGATGGATAGATGGATGGATGGATAGATGACATCAAAGCAATTAATGGAAAAAAAAAAAAAAGATTGCCTAAATTGCTGAAGCTGAGCTGACCTTGTGCTGTCCGGCAGCATAAAACACAGATGATATTGAAAAGAAACAAAGCCTCCGGGCTTCAATTTAGCAGCTGGCTTTTGACTATTAAAAATAATAACGCAGCTCTGAAATACATATATGTCAGAGACATCCCTGTAAACAGAGGTCAGGCTTTTCAAAGCAGAGAGGCGGTGAAGCAGAGACTCATTAAATGTCAGTCCAAGTTGATGCAATACCTGCAGTGTCTTCTTCTCACACCCACATGGCTGTCTGAAGCATCTCAGCATCCGCCGACCGTCTTGACAACTTCTGTCTCATTAAAAGGTTTTCATGTGCGTAAGCTGGTCTTCCCACAGAAAAGTTTATTTGTTGTTATGGGTTATGGGCAGTAGCATATTTCAGCATTAAGCCTCTATTTAAGCCCAAGGATAAGGATGTAGGTTTTCACAATGTTTTAGAAATGAAGCCTAATCAAGTCAGCACTTTGCAGAACCACCTGCCTCTACAAGGTTCGAACAACAAGAGACTTTTGTTTTCTAGTTTTAAGCAATTCCTCTATGAAAAGTAGCTTGAAGGAACTGTCCCTTATTATTATGTAAAATCAACTTTTTAAGCTTTATATCACGTTATAATGTTATTCCCTCATCAAACACCAAATGTAAAATCAACAACAACAAAACAACAAGCATTGTTTTTGTGGATTCCAGATGCACATATCCTGTCTGCATGTATGGCTCAGAAAGTGACTTAGTTCAAAAGTTTCTATTTTGCAAAGTGATTTTATGAATATATCAGGTTTTCTCATCAAAAACTGGCAAAGAAAGCAGAAAAATACCCACATACTCATTTGAAAATATGAACGCTAGCTTGGAAAGAGACTAATTAATAAGAAATTTAAGGTTTATGGTTTGTAATAGTCAGTGCTATGAACAGAACAAATAAAGCACTACAATTGAGTTTTCTATTTAAAGTTACTCATCCGAGGTTTTACAAAAAATCTGAAGTAGAGTGATTTTCTCAGACGAGATAAATACACATCTCTGGAAAAATGAAGAGACCACTTAAAATGATCATTTCCTCTGATTTTACTTTTTACATGTATATGTTTGAGTGAAATGAACATTATTCTTCTATTCAATGAACTTCTGCCAACATGTCTCTGAAATTCCAAGCAAATTTGTTTTGCAGAAAACGAGAAATGGACCAAACAACAAAAAAGATGCAGCGTTTCCGCACCTCAAATAATGCAAAGAAAACAAGCTGATATCCATTAGGAAACAACAACGCTGACGTTTCAACTCAGAAAGAGTTCAGAAATCAAATGGGCTCTTCATCTTTTCCATGGCTGTATTTGTTTTGGTTTATTTATCAGAGTCCACACTGGGTCCAGCGTCAAACCCAAGGACACTTTGGATCAAATAAGCAATTTTGTAATTGGAAGGTGGCCATTCTTCTGCTGAGCTGGTGTTCCACCACACTGACTTCATTTAACAGAGCGGATACTGTGTCCATGTTTTCTTCTTCTTCTTTTTTTTTTATACAGGCATTGATTAAGTCTCCAGTAGCTGCTGCTAACAAGAAGGGCTGCCACTGCTTTGGTGTGAAATTAAAGTTAGCAGAGGTTTTAGAAAGTATTCGTCCTGGTTTGACTGATCCTGGTCTCGTCTGGCCGTCCTGGATTTAAATCTGTTGACTGCAGGCCATCGTGATGCGAACCCGAGACATCGATTCCTTGACATGTTAGACTCAGTTCACTATTTATTATACACTCATTTTGTTCATTTGATGAACAAGCTGGTGTGAGCAAGGAACTAAATTAAAACAATTTCCTATTGCAAGCAAAAATAAATAAAAAAAAAAGGAGTGAAATTAAATTTTGTCATTTTTGTGCCAAGTGTATTTTTAGTGTTTAGGCTTTGAAGATGTTAATGTGCCAGTTTCGCATGAAGCTCATTTGCATAATAGTTAATAGTTTTTCATCCAAAGGGCTTTGTGATTGGGACACACAAACTAGGCCATCGCATCACTTTTCCAGTGAAAATGTCAAGTTAGCTCAGCTTGAGGGAAATACCTCATTTTAAATTATTAAGTTAATGCCACTCTCTCCTTTTGTTTTTCTATCATAATTGAAGTGCTGAGCATTGTATAATTCATACCAGTGCTGCAAGTTTCTCTCAACTCGTCAAACCGACTTCTCGGTCATTTATTGCCACACAACCAGAGGGCAAAACCATTGTCAGGTTTAGCTACTAATCGCTTATGTCACAAAGTGAGATTCACAGATTTGCTGTTGCTGCCTATCAGCTGAGCTGTTGAAGTAAAACAGAAAAAATAAACAAAAAACTTTGTTTTTACTTTCAGATAACTTTATTCCCCTGTGCCGTTTCAGAAGACTTAATGGTCTGCAACTCCAACTTGGCTGGAGTCGCTTGTCTTTTTACATAATACAGCGTTTGCTTATTATTTTTTGCTTTGCATTTATTACTGTGACTCTAGCCTGGTATATTTACTTGGAGGCATTAATGAGACCGAGGCTTTTAAGGAGCAGGCCAGCCTTCAGTTGTGAAAGTTACGTGAGCAGACGTTCACCATAGTATGTGTCAGGAAAATGTCACACACAAGGTATTACAAACAAACACATTTTAGTGGCAATTTTATCTGACCTCATCATTGTTGGTTCTTGTCCATAATTCCCTGTTCTTTACATTCCATTGTACTCTGAAGGTTTTTTTTTTAATGGGGATGAATTTTTAGCGAACGAGAGAGAATAACAAAGAGCACGACATGATGTGTGTGTGTGTGTGTGTGTGTGTGTGCGTGTGCGTGGGTGTGTGTGTGAGGCTCGAATGCGACCAAGAAGGACTCCTTTTTTCGAACACCAAGACAAAATACAATGTCCTTTTAATCCCTATTTCCATTTGCTACATCTCATACAGTAAGCACACAAACAGGTGTAACGTACAGAGAGTCCAGTCACTGTGCACACAGAGAGCAACTTCCCGAGAAAAATCACAAAGTCCACAAAGTTCCCAGAGCAGTCTTTGTGAAGGAAGTCCTTGGTCTCTCAATGCAGGAGGACATGCAGTGAAATCGCTGGAAGGAGAACACAGTGTGTACAACTCTGCTTGCAGACAGCTGCTAATTCACAGTTAGGTTTGGAAAGTGCACACAAGGTACTGATCTTGTAATTAGCTCGATGAATATTATCTCTACTGTTCTTTACTACCATAACACTTAGTGTTACAGATTTCACTGTAAGACAGCAGTATCTATATGTTGTAAAAAATAAATGACATGACATATCGATATTCACAAAAAATAAAAAATAAAACAAAAACAAGAAAATCTATTGGCATTGATTTCACAATATCTACAAATTCACAAGGTAATTACACTTTCTGAACAAGTTTTTGCCATTATTAATCTCTTTAGTTGATCTATTTTTCTACGCCGTTCTATGCATCCACACCTTTGCATCAATGCTGTAGAGGTTATGCTGTATCAAACAGGATATTTAATGCTGTACTAATTAGCATAAATATATTCATATAGTATTATACTCTTAATATACTGTATCTCACTGTATAGAATGACACGGTTTTACTGATTTTAACTCTGGCCCTGTTTGGATAACACCACATAATACAATCAAACCCAAACCTGAATGGCAGATTTCTGTTTCTCAAATCCTCTGAGGTGTGTGGGAAAAAAAAAAACATAAATAAATAAATAAATAAATAAATAAAAAAATAAATAAATAAATAAATAAATAAATAAATAAATAAATACACGTTTCTTATGTTTCTCTGTCTAAGCCAAAATGTACTTGCATTTAAAAAAGAAAATCATCAACTGCAAATAATAAAAATAACCTTTTTTTAAATATATTTTTTGCTCGCTTATTTACGTGTTCCGTTTGCTGATTAATTCAGAAATTAATCTCTGCAGGGTGATTTTATCATGCTTAATTAAAATCATATATTTACTTGGATAAACTTCATTTGATCACTTGCAACAAATTAAATTATTCTTTAAAAGTTATTTTTTTTTCAGTTGGAGGCAGAAAACTTATTAAAATTCCAACATAAGATGTCAGTGTGTGCTCACAATGTGATAAAGGGCAAGACATTTGAACATTTTGGCAAAGTTTGTCTATTGCTGAATGTTTTTGATGGTAAATGTATTATTTTTGGTTAAATAACGCTTCTATGGTTAGAGACTACTGATGACATTAGTCAGAGAATGACTATTATATATATTTTATTCATTTGACAAATGCAGGTATTTTGTTTGGAGCCACCAACATACCGTAACTCCCATTCAGGAACCTGGAGGAGTCAGAAGTAATTATTTAAGATGTGTTGACACATGCTGAATTAAATTAAAGTAAAATGTTTAAAAATAAAAGGTTTGTCTTGACTTGTGTATGCAAGTCAATGTATAATAACTGCAAACAATCAGCTTACGGTTGATGCTATGTTTCATTTAGTAGAACTTGTTAAACACTCAAGTGTGCTTAACATGTTTTAAACAAGTTTTGTTTACCTTAAATTAAGACTTTAGGATCTTGTTAAAATCTTTATTACATAAATTAAACACAGACAAGAATTATGGACAATCTTAATACCTTAACTTATTGTGCATTATGACTTCTGTTTAGCTAATTTACATCACAAGAAATTGAAAAAGTTTTGCACACTTTCGTTAAACTCCAATACGCTGGCTAATTTAGAGTTCAAGGATTCTGTAGGATGATCAAGAAATCTTCATGAACGATTGTGACTTTTGTCATGAAGTGTCATTTGGTAAATAATGACTTTTTTAATGCAAAGCTGACACTTTTAATTGACTTTTAATGGAAGTTCTAACGGAATGTCACATTAAAAGTGCCATTAATTACTGAATAATGCAAATTACACTTTTAATGGAACTTTTCGTGCACTTTTGCATCAAAGGTGCCATTTTTTACCGAATGACACTTCAGAACAACAGTTGTAAATATTTATGAAGAGTCATTCATTTTCCTGGCAGTCTCATGCGCACCCCTTCAAATAAAGTATTACTAGATAATGCAACAAAAATGCTTGAAATTGAATTTAAAAACCACAAGTCAGGTTTTGGAGGAGAAATCTAAGATGGAACTGAAATACACTTGAAGACAGTGTGGAAAATCCTTCAGAGACTTTTAAATGCTTGAAATTGACACGGATTTGAACCTACAGTGATCTAAAGAGTAAATGGAGATGGATGCCAAGTGAGTTCGGTGGATCTGTGTCTTTAGTTGTAAACTAAATAAGGGAAAACCCATTCAGAGGCTTGTTATAAGTGTTTATGCTGCTGGTTATTAGTAGGTAACAAAGTGACTGGGATGAAGTCTCATCTCTACACCTTGCTTCAGTGTGTAGTGAATAATAAAGCTTCAGATTGCAGGAGCAAACGTACAAATGTTTATGCAGAATCAATGGCTGTTGGATTTGCACATGATCAACCAACACTTTACTGAAGCTCTTTCCTCATATACTTTGTCAGAATCCAGTGCATGTTGGAATCTCCAGTAAGTCTCTTCAATAATCTTTACTTATTGAATTAGACAGAATGCATTTGGCAAAAGTGATATAAATAAATAAAAGTGCTTTAGATTCAGATTGTGTAAATATATATGTGCAAAAACCAAAAACGTATTATCTTGCACACACACACACACACGCACACGCACACACGCACCCACACACTGAAGTCACTTAACAAAGCAGAGACACTCGGTGCTCTGTAGTCAAATCTTATGTGACTTTGATCAACATTTATCACATTTTCTCAATAAATTAAGATTCGTTTTCAGCTGGCTTTACAGTAATTTCCAGTATGTAGATTACTGTAATCTAAGTGTCTATTAACTTATTTGGATAAGTTAAAATCACTGTGTGACACATTGCCTTTGTTGTCTAAGGCAAAAATAAAGTCAACATATGTGGGCAATAAAAAAAGCACAAAAACGCGTTGCAGAAGAAAGCAAAACAGAAAAGCATGGACTCTTAGCTGCATGTTGACAGAGACACGATAAACATTTTAGAACAGCAACAAATGCAAAGACAAGAGGGAACAAAGAAAAGAGCGATTGTTTTCATAAATTAAAAATAAAACTTTAAAGTTTGTAGATGTGAAATTCCAAATTTGTCTTCCTTTTGAGGTAATTTCTTGGTTAGGGTGCTCCATAAAAAAACCCCAAAACAATAATTTTAATGATAGTTGTTCTCCACAACACTGGAGCCTGGAATCTCTTTGCAAGATCATCTCACAGGAATAGGTCTGTTAACCCTTCGTAATAAGAGGCAGTTTTAGTCTGGGTGTGTGTTTGCGTGCGTGTGTGTGGGTGTGTGTGTGTGTGTGTGTGTGTATGGCCTGGTTTAGAGTGGAGATGGCCATACACTGTAGTAGGTAGAACCTACAGAGACCATTGAATATTTCTCAACACAATGCTTTGCAAAAGCATTAATACCCCTAAAAACGTTTTTCTTATTGTGTCACATTACAAAGACAAGCTTTAAGGTGTTTTCAAGGATTTTTTGTGATGGAGCAACTCAAAAATGTTGCACAATTATGAAGTGAAAAGAAGATTTCTTTCAAAGCCTTTTACAAATAGAAATCTGAAAAATGTGGTGAATAATTGTTTTCAGCCTCTTATATCCTGAAAATGCAGCGGACAGTCTTTACAAGTCATGTAGTTAAAGGTGTTTTCCCTTCTGCTAATCTGGTGGTTTGATTAAGGTCCAAAATTGGAACATTTCGTACAATTTTCAGCTGCACTCTGTCAAACAATCAAAACCCATGTTCACTCCTTTCCTCCTTACACCAAAAACCACTGAAGGAAACGGCGTGAAAACCTGCAGGTCTGATATGACACTCTGGATTTAGACCAGAATGTGTTTGAATGGTCTAGTCAAAGTCCAGATCTCAATCTGAGAATCTTTCACAATATAAATTATTTCTATAGATATTCTCCAGCCAATCTGAAAGAGTTTGAGCTATTTTTCAAAAAACAATGACAAAACAGAAGCTGTAGAGATTGGATCAGAGGACCTGAAAACAAATGCCTGCAATATTTTTATGACTTGTACCTAAAAAAAAGAAAGACAACTAAGTATAATTTTTTAAAAAACTTGACATTCCTGCAGGTCTTTGTGCTGATCTGCCACATAAAATCTCAATAAAACACATTGAAGTTGAAGCAGGACAAAATTTGAAAAGATTTAAGGGGCGTAAATATTTTTGCAAAGCAAACGCACACTTGGAAACGCAAATGTGGGCATGTCTGACTTTTTTTTTTCTTCTCTTTTCCTTCTTTGTGATGAGTGTTTTCACCAAGGCACATATATTATCTGTCGTTGAACATAGTCAGCCAGTTAAAACAATAAGAGCCAGTGGACTAGAAAATGTACATGCAGCCCTTTGAGGCTGCATTGTGTATGCTGGGCTTCGGCAGGAGCTGAAGGCCAGACTCTGACAATTATTAATGGTGTTCCTACAAAACTATACAGGCCGTCCCAACCAACAGAAGCACAATAAAGCGGCCGGCGGATGGCTTTCCTCGTGTTTTCGACGGTATCGGTGTGTGTCTGTGTGCGTACGGCGTGTCAGCGCCTTATCACTGGTAATGAGTCACAATGAGAACAGAAAACACATGCGTGTGCTAACTTATTATAAGCAATGAAACAACAACAACAACAACAAAAGAGAAAAACAAACAAACCCAAAACATATCAAAACAGGGGGACGCACAATTTAACTACTGTACGAAACGGCAAGCAATCAAGACACAGCAAGGGATTAAACCACAACAGGGAACAGGGCCAGAGCTAAGTGTGGGGTGGAGAAGAAGAAACGCCGCACAAAACACAGACTGGAGAGAGAATGGGCTTCCTCCGAGGTCCACCGCTGCACTTGAGTCTAATGGAAACCGGATTTGCCTCCCAACAGTAACAGCCGTGCAAAAATATCAAATGTTTAAGAAAAAAAATCCCAAACAGACACATGAGACATGCGCGCACACGCATACACACGCATGTTAAGATGCGATGGACTTGGCTTTTCCTGTGCCTATCTATCTATCTATCTATCTGGCTATCTCTCTTGCGAAAGCCAACATTTGGTGAAATTCAGTTTAGGTTGTTTGCCTTCATGATCGCGGGCTTTCTGTTGACATACGTGGCCCAGTAGCCCAAGTTGAAAATGAAGAACAGCACTGGGAAGATGATGCGCGATATCTTGTCCACTTTGCTGACGCGGTTGTAGGATTTCTTGGCCTCTGTGTACGGGTCGTCCATTTTGTGCAGAAAGGAGTGTTTGATCGACGGTCCCGGGGCGCTTTTGGAAATGGTCGTCAAGCCTTGGTCTTTGGCTACGTTGATGCCGTAGGTGGTGCCGACAATGTTGAAGGTGTTGTTGGACTTTTTAGTCAGCGTGGCCGACTCTCTTCTCTGCAAAGGAAGAAGGCAGTTAAGGTCGTGAGTCGCAGCAGGGCAGTGGACTAAACAATACTTCCATTTGAACTCATAAAGAGGAAATAGAAGCAACACCACGAGACACGAGACACACACAAGAACAAAACAAAAGCCTAACCATATCTTTAATCCTGGCCATGTTAGCCTGAAACGGTTCCTGAAAAGAAAAGTAGAAAAGAAAAAAAGTTTACCAATTATATTAGAATTACCCAACTTACAGAATCTATTCATCACTATCTAGCTGGAGGTGACTTTCTTTTATTATTATTATTATTATTATTTTACTACATTTTTACAGTTTTTATAACGTCAAATCAATAGTATATTACACAAATCTGGATCGCAAGAGGAAAATGTCATGAGTAAAAATATCATGACGAGAATATTGAGCTTGTGAGATAAAGAGTGCAGAAAATTGGAACAGTTCTCATGTTTTTATTTTTTTATGGTTTTAGGGGGCGCGTGAGAAGGAGAACCAGGCTGGACTGGCGTCTGGTACTGCTAGCAATAGCAGTAACAGCACAGAGCAGGATTAGAAACAAAGCAAAAAAAAAAAAAGAAAAAAAAAGGAAAAAAAAAAAACAGCGCCTGAAAACATGTCTGACAAACTGTATCAATGAAGGCAGCCAGGCCTCTTCAGGCAAACAGCTAGTGATAAAGCAAACATGACAAAGGCTGTGTGCGATAGAGCAAGCTGGAGGGTCCGCCGTCTTCCTGCTTCTGGAGCCGCGCGATTGCGGCGCCTTTCACTTTGGAGTTGCACGGGAAGACACAGTTTATTTGCTACATTGGCACTCTCACATAACTAAACTCGCATCTCTAGAGGATCCTGCCAGTCTGACGGAGCACAGTGCAACGAGCAATTTGGATGTGGGGAAAACAAGTAGGGCAGTAAGATGGATTACTCAGCTCACTTCTGGTTTCCTCCGTGGCTCGCGCTGTGGGTCTGTACTGCCATCATTTCCTGCGCACCAATCATTCCCACTGCGACCTCTTTCAGATCAAGGCTGGAACAGTGCATGTCACAGAGCAGGAGAGTTTCAGATCCAGTGCTCCTGTTTTGTGTGAAATGATCTGTTTTTCTGACTACGTCTTCTAAAACAAGGCTATTCATACCTTGGAAATGTGTGTGAAACAAGAAGAGCTACAGGAAGAGAATGATCCTTGGTTTGCTTGGGCAGCAAATCCTGTTGAGGTCTAACGGAGCTAACAGGTTTGCAGTGATGCTCCCAGATAAATGGACGCCTTCCCATCTCTCCGCCAACGAGGCCCCTCCATCACAGTGACAGCTTGCATCAGCAGGAAAAACTAATTACGACATTCAAGTGTCGTATGACCTTAATCAAAGATCATTCGGCTCCCTGGTCTTTAGCGTTAAGGATGTTCTGTGCGGCGCTAACCTGACAAATGAGCTGTACAGAGTCGTTTTCTGTTGCTTTTTAGCTGGACTGTCATCTGCGCTAATTTATTGGGCCTAATTATTGGGGAAACCATCTGTGGCATTGGGCTGGATGCATTTTGTTACGAACCTAATGTGTCACAGCACATAATTTACTTCTGCTTAAAAGATTTGCATGCACTAGCCCAAGTAATTGGGCTGGCTGAAGGCAAAAAACCCCCCCATCACAATGCATCCATTGACCTTGTCCTCATAACTTTGGCAAATTGTTGCTTAAGAATTGAAATGTGTCTCAGGGTGACTAAGCGATTGTGCTGCCCTGCGCTTCACTGCTTGCAGCTGGGAGTGGGCATGTGAGCAAACCTTGGGACAGTCGGCACCCCCTCTGTGTTCGGAGATGAAATGTTGGCATGCTTAATAGCCTCAAGTGAGTAAGCATGTGGGGGAATGAGAGTGTGGGCAGCACATGGAGAGCCATAACGATCTCGCTTGTGCATGTATGATTCTGGAATGACTGTTTTTATTCAGATGTAGGTTCAACGGACGACCCCTGTTAACCCTATACCTGCACGTTTTACTGCATGCTTTGTCCCTTTGTTTTAAAATCTCCTTCCTGGTTCATTAGTTGGATATACCAGTGCCGTATTAAGGCAAAAAAAAAAAAAGAAAAAATGTTTTGTTGGAAAAACTTTTGTAAAAATCTTTTTTTTTGTTTTGGAATGAAAACTGTCACTATGTTTTCACATTATAATATGAGACAGATAATCTGTTGAAAAAAACATCAAGCTCTTCCTTCTCCTCCTGGTGCTTTTGCTGTCATCTGTCAATCAGAGCCAGGAGGAGGGTCACAGTGCTGTCAATCATCCTCGTGTATGGCCTCATGGTGGAGAAATAACTTACCGTCACAGGAAAACTGTTTATCCTGTGTCATTGGCTGCCATGGTAACTAGCATTAGCATTCGTGGCAGCCTACATTGTGGGGAACTAGGTGTAGCATAGCACAGAGTTGGGGAGGAGTGAGCGGTGCGCACAAGCATGACTCAGTGCTAAGGACTTCCTCCTGACTCTGATTGGTAGTTTTTGACAGGACTGTGTATTTCTGTAGATGGAAGTAGAACCACAGGAACCACTGTTTCTTATTATACTAGTGTGACATTGTGACAGTTTTAACAAAAATGTATACATATATGTATTTTTTTTTCAATGCTGCAGCTTTAAAAAACAAATGTATGGAAAAATGTCTGACAATCAATCAAAAATTGGGTCCATCAAACTTCTGAGAGATTTAGGCGTTTGTTACGACAAGTAATAATAGACAAAGTTTTCTAAAACCATAAACCTCTATCGCTTTGTGGCTTCATCAGAGAATGCCACTGCAACACCAGCTTGTGACTCTCCCTGTGCTGACGCAAACAGAATATATCTCTCACTGAAGCGTCCAATCGTTGCAAGAGTTTCAAGAATTTACCTTTCCAACCAAAAACTCCCCACAGGCTAATTCCTGAGATGAGCTCACCTTCAGCTGTAAAGGGGAGCGCTAATTAGGCACATGGCAGACAGAAAATAAGGTGACGAGAAAGTAAAAAGCACACAGCGACATTAAAGTAAACCATTTCACATGGGTTTGCTCACAGTCGGGGATGTAAAAACAAATGTTGAGAATAATTGTCTGCTGCTCCTGGGTGTACAGCTCTTTGGCAAAGAATTCATGCCCCTTGATGTTTACTACATGTTGCAACGTTGCAGCCATGAGCCTCAATGTATTTTGTGGCATGATTTACCATTCAAAACAATTCAAAATAACTGAGAGGTGTAAGGACGATAAGTGGTTTTCAAAAAACATTCCTCGTCAAATAAGAGTCTGGAATTTGCTCCAACCGTTTTCCAATAAACTTTGCTGTTCCCACAGCATGACACTGCCGCCAAACTACAGCAGATTATGGCTTTCTTTATGTTACCTTTTGCATGAGTGCATAATAGTTCTGCCAGAAAACTGTCAGTGACTTTTCAGTCCCACTCATTTTACACTAGAAAAGCAAAATCTTGCAAAGTATTTTAGGTCTAATTTTTTATGAAAATATTGTCATACCCTTAAAACAACACAAAACAAACTTACAAGTAACTTTTACATCAATAATTTTTTAATACTGACTTTTTATTTTATTTTTATCAATGTCAAGATATTATTGACTTACAAGCTCCTGCACTTTACTGAAATGTTACTTGTAAGTTAGTTTTGTTAAATTTCAAGTAAACAGAGATATCTGGACTAGAAACTGGGCAAAAAAATATGTGGTAAGATTTTGTGTGTATGTGTTTTTTTTTAGTGTAGCTGCAGTTTTTGCAGCTGTAATGCAGCTGGTCGGTTTTGGTGAACGCTGACGTCTTGGAAGGTTTATGGCTTCCAAATTAAGGTGGCTAAATTCAAATGAAAAGCCACATTTTTCAGTTTTTATATTTAAGTCCTTCCACATCACAATTATGCACCATTTTGGTCACCTATTGCATAACCCCCCCCACAAAATGCAGTTTTGACGTTCATGGTCGTAATGACAAACGTTCAAGTTGAGCGTCTATGTGTCGCTAGACGCCACCGAGCTTCAAAGTCCACACGACAAACCGACTCCAAACTCCAAAGCGACCCTCATTCGTCTGACGGTTTATTGCATTAGATCAAATCTTTTGCTCCATTTGTCATAAGGCTGCGCATTTGAACTCCGATGTCACTGCTTTCCAGTTGCTTATATCTATGGGGAAGGCGACGGCAGAGTCTTGTATGTCCGTGTGAGCCCGTTCCGTTTTATCTACGGTGACAACTGCGTGCTCAGCAGAGCCCCTGAGAACGCAGCCCAGGCTGTCGCCATTAAATTCAGCCTTCAGAAAGGAAGGAAACTCTCCCTGCTGACTAAAAAGTTCAACTGCATTTTGGCCTGTCAGTCTCAGTAACCAAATGTCACGCTCGAGAAAAAATAAAAGTAGAAAAAATAAATAAATAAAAGCGCAGAGGCGGCATTGATTGGGTCAAACACTTTGTACATATGTAGCAAAAATAGATTTGTGACAGTCTGTCGCAGCTGAAATGAGTTTCGTTGTGTTTCTGACTGATAAGTGTTTTGATGTGCTTCGTCAGCGACTCTGAGACAGCTTATGTTTGCTCTGGGATTTTTCTTTTTTTTTTTTCTTTTGGTTCTTACGAGCATCTTGTAAAGCCATTTTGTCAATAAAGCTTTGAGTTATTTGCATTTCTCAGGAGATTAACTGCTCTCATTAAGTCTAAAAAAAAGACAAAAAAAAGAAAAAACTTCAAACTTTACATGCCTGATCTATTTAGGTTCTTTTGCTCTTGTCTTATCATTCCGTGTGCTAAAGTATATATACAGTGGTGTGTTCACATGTGAATAATTTCCGTCACAACTTCAACCCTGCCTCTTCAAGCTCCGTTAAATATGGTTTGAGGATCCAAATTGACAAAGTGAGAACAGCTTATGCTGGCATACATAAAAATTTAAGGAAACCAGAAATAACACTATAAATAAAGGATTAAGAGCAATTGCCTCGCAGAGAGTGTTTTCACAGAAGTTTAATTATGACTTTAAATACGAACCATGCAGTGCATTATGTGGGAACAATTGTTCATACAAGACAAAATGGCTCGAGCAAAATGCTCGCCGGAGTGAAGTGATCATCAAAGAAGGAGAAAATCTTTTTTTTCAAGTTCACATTTTGTCAGATTTTATGCATCTGAATTTATTTCGTTCTGACATCTCTCCAACGTTTTACGCGGATCTGCTAGGCGGGCTGACGCTGATCAGAAGAACAAAATGAATTATTCACTGAAGTATGTAGATCTAAATCCTGTTTTTGGGAGGAGGACGGCGGTTTGTTTACATTCCGGATGAGATTTTATCGCTGCAAATTCAATCAAAGCGAATACTTGACATCTGACTCTTAACATGCTGAACCACAGAAAACTGTCAAAGAAACGTATTTATTTATTTTTATTAAGCTCAATTTGTTGGCATTACAAACTACTCAGCTTTTTCTTTTTTTTTAAAATTTGTTTTGTTTGGCATTTTTCCACTAAAATTTCTCCCAATTTGGCTTTTTCTCCCCCTTCACACGTTTCAAATAATCACACTCTGTGTAAGCACTTTTTCCCTTAATGAACAAAATTGTCATTTGTTTCCATTTGTCTCATATAAACATAGGTCTGATCATGTGAAACGGACGCAAAATCTATTTTTGCAGCTCTAAGTATAAGCAGGTTACGCTCATATTCATATTACGCTGTGCGCTCCGACTCCAGCCAGAACTTTAAATGGGTCACATGCAGAAGAAAAAAAAGGCCTAAAACACCAAAGTTGTATTTCTGTGTCACAACTTTTCCAGAAATGTACTCTTTTTTTTGTATCTTTGTAAACAACGCACAAACGCCCCTGCTGCACCGTTGAATAGAAACTGGATAAGTTACGATTCATCTTGCTTTCTTACGGAGGGAAAGGGTAAACCTGAGGTGATTCATTTGAAGTGAAGCACGCTCGCTCTCTGATCAGCATGCAAGATGTAAGGATGGAATCTTATTTTTGTTTTTGGCGAGAGCAAATGCACGGCGCCTTTTTAAAACGAGCGCTGAACATATGCTGCGATTGTAAATCAGGGCCAACGTCTCTGGGAGTTTACTTCTGCTTTTGCTCTCAGTGTTCCTGTTCCATTTGGCTGCTAATGAATAAATAAAAGGCCTCTTTAAAGTCTTTAAAAGAATACTCAAGGCTGTGTTTAAAAAAAAAAAAAGAAAAAGAAAAAGGAACCTGCTATGTGTGGCCAAAACTCTGAAGATTTTCTCAAGATTATTTTTAACATCGAGGTCAAAATCCAAGTTAATGATATGTATTAAGTGCAAGCCCACTCACCACCCCGCCCCGACTTATTTCTGAAAAGCGTTCTCGGATAACTCATGCTTTTGCAGTTGATAGATGCATGTATGCAGTGTCGATTGTTTCATCACTCACCCTTATTTCCATGCCCTCTCTTTTCCCATCCCACGCCCAGCTGCGTTTGGTGAAGTAGTTGACTGTCGCAAACTCTATCAGGGCAGAGAAGACAAAGGCATAGCACACTGCCATGAACCAGTCCATTGCGGTGGCATAGGCCACCTTAGGGAGGGAGTTTCTAGCACTGATGCTCAGAGTGGTCATGGTTAGGACCGTGGTGACCCCTGAGGACAGAAGGAAAACACAGACGGAGAGGTTCAGGGAAGCTGAAAGTTTTTCTTTTACAATATTTGCGTACTTTTAATTGGGTTGACACAATTAATTGTGATGAATCAATCAGTGAAATAGTCGTCATCTAATTTAGTAATCGATTGATTGTTAACTGGAGAACACAGACCTAAAAGTCAAAACTGAACAATCTATTAATTTCGCATTTCGACTGAAAAAACAAACAAACAAAAAAAGTATTTATTTGTAAATATGTTCAATCCAGAACTCCTCAAGAGACATAATGTCCTGGTTCATATTCTGTAAAAAAAAAAAGAAATAATAACAATAATAAAAATCTCCTATTAAACACCCTTTGCATTTCAATTGTGAATATAATTGTGAATATAATTAAAAGAAGTAATAAAATTGCTTACTTGCATTTTCTAATACTGTATAAAAAGCTTAAATGAAAACTGCATTTTTTAAAAATCCAATTAATCATCAGAATAATCCACAGATCACTCAATAACTAAAGCAGTGGCAGTCCGGGTTCAGAGTTAGAAATCAACGATCCAATTCAAATTTGCACTTTTAGATGACGTTGGAAGTGGAAGCTCTTACATAAGACGCTTCATATAAATCAGGAATCAGATCGCAGCGCTTCATAATGATGAGACAGTCCACTGACGTGTAAACATCACAAGTGCACAGGGTCAGTTCATCGAGTTCAGACGACCAGAAACCAGCCGCCACTGCATTACACCATTACAAGGCATTTATTGTTCTGTGTTTTTATTCTGTCTTAAACAAGTCTGATCCAAGAATTGTTAAATAAATGATAAATGGATAAGTGGAGCCCTCAATGGCAGTGAGTTGAGAGGAATTTGAAAGAATAAACTATTTGTAATAAATAATTAAAAGAAACAAAAACAATGTTGTAGTGTCATTATATAACCACATTTTCGGTAAGCTTCAGTTTGTTCAGAAAGAAGGGAGCTTTCTGCTGGTTCGGCTCAAAGTGACTCACTCCCCTGGCAGATTTAGCTTCAAAGGACTCTTTTATTTTAATCAAGTTGTTTATTCTGCCTGGAAGTAATATTGACGCTTTTGAGTGGCCCAGAGTTGTGATATGAATCTGATGCAGAATCTGTGGAGGGAGCCAAAGATTAAAAGGTCTTCCAACCTTAAAAACTGGTGAAATAGTGAAAAAAAAAGCTGGCCAGAAATAAGCATTTGACTGTTGCAATAACGTTTCAGTTTGATTTTAAACACGACATTTTTTTCTTAAAATGTGAATAAAAAAAGAATTTTCTTTCTTAAATCGATTCCCCTTGTGGATTGAGATCCATGTGTATCTCAATCACATGGAGCTAATGCCGCAGTAGGGGAGAACCATGAAGGAAGTCATGTTTAAGGTGTCGGTTGTACTGAGTAATCACTAAATGAAGAAACAGCTGAGCTGCTGAGAAAAATTGACAAGCGCACTAGGAATTAAGGAAATGTGAGTTGAAAAGTATCCTCTGTTTTACGGGTCCTGCCTCTTCCGTTTCCTGAAAGAGGCACGACCTCCCCTTGTGGATTGTTTCTCAATCCACAAGGGGAAAACAAGATTCTTGGAAGAATAAAAATAAGACAAAAATCTAAATTTGATTGGGATTGGGTGACGTCGAGCCCGACTGTACACTTGCTGCAAGTGTACAGTCAGCAAAAAGTTTAGATTGTGAAAAGCGAACAGCAGATCTCTGTCTACTAAAATGATATTAATTGGGAAATGAATCCACTGAGGTGTAAACTGAAAATTTCACGGGTCGTTTCACATCCCAGCCTTTTCACTTAGCAGTGGCGGGAATGAGATTTGGCTCGGACAATGGCTGCCCATCCAACCACATAAAAACAATCCTGAATCTGTTCCAATCCATCTTATCTCATAAAAATGGACATGTTGGGCAAAAAGGCAGAGGGGATGATCGAAATCGAAAAGCAGCGAGGTCGACCCGTTTCAGTGAGACACGACAGAGGAATCATAACAAAAAAATTCAAGACAAACAACAACTTGTAGATACGAAGAATTATATTAAAGTTATTTATGGTATTTTGCTAAAAGGAAGTGAGATTTATGTAAATAGGTCCATAAAATGTAATACAACTTAAAACACTTTTTAGAGTTAATTTTCTACAGAATTTACTCCAGGAATAGAGATACTCACAGAAGAAGGCTAACTTTGTATCTCTGAATCATTTTCTATTGATTTTACCATGTTTTGGGTTTATTAGCATGCAAAACCGACCGACGCTAAGCCACTTTTAGCTTACTGTCCACCTACTGACTGTTTCAAATGTCCTGGTAAAACAGATCCTCCAACATACTTAACAGTGGAAATGATCTGCGTTTCTGCACATTTAAAAAAATTGTTTTTCATACTAAACTCACCTGAAGGTTTTATGACCAAAACATTGTCTGCACATTGTCTGTCTCAAATCAAAATGTGGATTTACATCTGCAATACGGAAAAGCGTGCTTCCCTAGCAATCATCTGGTTGTTAGGTAGCAATAACACACTAACTAAACTGTAGGAAAGACAGAAAATCTGTGCATTTTGTTTTATAACCCCAATAATTTGGTTTTTCCAACTTTTATTTTCATTCTTTTCCCCCATTTTTTTCCTCCTTTTGGGAAAACTTTTACAATGTGGAAATTTTTCCTTTTTCCAAATTTGAATCTCCTCCTATGATGCATTGCATGCCACTTCCTATAATTTCTAATATCAAAACAATAATAAATATGTTAATATCAGAGTAAATGAGAATCCAAGATGAGATTTGATTTAAATATCTTATACTTTATTTCAGAAAGAAATGTCTTCTCATTTCCTGTTTTGTTGCTTGTAAAATAGCTCATTTCTCTCAAAAACACAGAATTTGATACCGAAAAAAGACAAAGTTTCTGAAAGTCCCGAGTTTCTTTTTCTCAGAAACTGAAAATGTGCAGTCTTGCCCCCAGGGATTATCGTTAAAATTTATGTGGTTTGTTTTACCTAAACTACTCAAAACTCACAATGTAGCAGCACTTTAAGCAAGGGGAAGGAAGTCGTTGCATGTGTTTTTTTTTTTTGCATGATATGGAAACTCTGTTTGATCGCCCCGAAAATATTCGTAACCGATTAAGAAACCAATTAGCAATTAGAGGCACTCACCAAACACAGTGCGGGCAGGAACCGATTCCCTGTTAAGCCAGAAGGAGACCTGAGACAGTATGACTGTCATGATGCACGGAAGGTAGGTTTGAATCACAAAGTAGCCAATTTTCCGTTTCAAATGGAAATATGTCGTCATCACTACGTATTCTCCTGGAGGAAACAAAAACAGAGGCAGAGAGACAAAACAAGTCAGACGTAGTTATAGCACAAAATGATTAGACTAAAATCTTCCAAAAAAGTAAAAAAAAAGAAAAAAATACAGTGAAAAAGGATTTGAATGCAACTCTAGTTAAAAGATGGAAGTAACTTGTAAATTAAGCTCGCTTGTTGGAGATTTTGATGATTTCATCTGTGTTTAGTGGCCCCAAAAAGCCCCAACAACAACAAAACAAACAAAACAACACAAAAAAAAAAAAACCATGTGTGTCTTTTCATTTGAACGAGAGAAGTGCAATCAAGCACGAGTGGGGAAAAACATCCAGCCGAAGAAAGATGTTTTCATGGACTTTTCATTTTCAGCACAATCATTTGAATTTTAAAAGCCTCCTGGTACATTTGGGTAATATGAGAATGCAGTGTGCCGCACCTCAAAGGAGATTCAAAACCAAAAGTAAGTCAGTAGTTATTCAGGTGGCTTAACCCGCTTACAGAACACTGACATTTTCCTTTGTGCCACTCCTATATGGAGATATATGTTTATGCGGGGAGTGTGAGGCTGCATCTCTCTCCAGTGTTTGTATTTGTCACTGATGGCAGCAAGCGGCCAGATTCACTTTCCCTAAGCGTTGGCTCTCACTCCCGCTTTTGCAATCTGTGTCGCAGAGATACGAGAGGCTCCCGTTTCCCTGAGGTGGTTTGTCTGACCAGATTCCAGCCACGGCTGAAGAGGCTCAATCTTCCCTCCTAGATTATATATTTTTTAGACTAAACCAGTTTAACAAACTTAGCTTCGGCGCTCCTAAAAGTTCCCTGTGTTTTCGAAGCATTAAAGAGACGCCGCGGTCAAATCGACTGCACAGGACGTAAGGAGTGCGGTTATTTAAAAGTCTTGCTCTTGAAAATGTGAGCGAAACTCGGGCGTCAGCTTTGCACCAACGTCTTCCTCTCAACTGCCTCTCACAGTTTTACGTCAAACTGAGTGTCAGTGCTTCTACTGACAAATGAAAAACTTTCAGACTTCAAATGACAGCGGTGGTTATATGCGAGGTCAAAATCCTGTATGAGTGTTATTGTACTGTTTTAGCACATATATAAGTGAAGTTTCCAAATAAAAAGAGAAATAAATTGCTCTCCACAATTTTAATTCTGTCCCCCGGTTGCAACATGGTGGTGGCAGTATCATGCTGCGGGGAGATTTTTCTTCCCAGTGCTCAGGAAAGTGCTTCAGAATTGATAGTGAGACAGATCGGGATAAATGCAGAGGGATTCTGGCAGCAAATGTGTAAAAACCAGAATCGCGCATAGAGACATTCAGCTTCTATGTTTAGTTTTCGCATCCCGTAGATATGATAGTGAATGAGTGTGTAAGGTTGAACTGTTCTGTCTGTTTTCCTTTGTTTCTTTTATTTGGTCTTGGAAGATTGAGTCTCCGCCTCTGTTAGCAGAGAGAGGTGAATAAAGCAACTATGCAACTCTGAGTTCATTAGAGCAGAATGAGTTTCGCCTAATGCAGTGTATTTTTGCTCTCCGTCTGCAGATGTATTGAAGATGTTTTTGCTCCCTGACTTTTGTCTGGCCCTCAGTCTCTGAATTATGTACTTCACAAACACTAGGGCATTTTGAAATGTCCGGTTGCTGAAAGGTGCTACAGAAATAAAATGTGATTGATTGATTGACAAAGGTCATTCTGACTATTGGGTCATTTTTTTCCCCCCTCGATTTTAATCTTCTGAAATGTTTCTTTTTGATTCACCTGGGAGCGCAGATCTCTCCGCTTAATGCAGCTGCCATAAAAACTGTGAAATGGGACGAATGCAGCAACTCGTCTCAGATTGTTTTCTGGTGTAAAAGCCGCAGACTGCCACTCCACACAGAGTGGAAGTGGAATCCTGGCTTTCAGCTTTTTAGCTATCTGAAAACGCAATTTATCACAATTTCATGGTCTTTATGCAAAGGCAGTGAATGAAAACCAGTTTTAGCCTGAATACGTTTTCGGTAATTCACATATCTATAATAATTAAAGCCTTTGAGATTTCTTGTAAGAGTTTCTTCCACACACCCACATGCCAATCGGACTTAAAATCCTGGGGTGTTTCAAAAATGCTAATTTTTATCTCAGAACGTGAACACTTAAGAATATTCTAATTTTTACCTTTAACATATCTTTAAAAAGGCTTTTATGAGTTCATTATTCATCCTCTCTGTGTCCATGAAATTGTTGTAGGTCCAAGCTCCCATAAAGATGACTATTTTTCTAAATGTATTTAAATGCAAACTGCTAAGAATCAAGAGAATGTTTAATTGCAAACTATGACGTAAAAACATTCTTAGCAGTCATTCTTAGATTTGTAACCACTTTTGTCTGACTTTAATTTTGTTTCTGGAGTGAAATTGAACCTTTAAGAAGCTGAAAATATAAACCAAGCAGAGTTTTAACTTCCTGTGGATAAACAGCTGAAGCTATTTTAAGTAAACGGGGTAAAAAATAGTTTATTGTCGAGAGCTTGTTAGAGGTACAGAATATCGACTCAGGTGGGCGGAATCCAAATGCACACCACACTTTTCAGATTTCCTTGCGTTGGTCTATCACACAAAATGTAACATGCTGTGATTTGTCTATTTAACACTGGTGTTTGCTTGTGTACGGCTCTGGCTGTATACAGATGTGACGATTTACCGAGAAACCTTAGAGACCATCCGTAGACTCCAGGCTTTAATTGATCTCGGTTTTAACAAACAGCAGGTTCAGCAGGTTGTTCTGCCTTCAGCTGCCTTACACTGCAAGCTAACCTCACAACACAGGGAAGGATCTATTTCTGTACCCGTGAGAGTTGACCGATATCGCACCGAGTCATCGACTATTGCCTCAAGACTTAACGTTTTCTAAGGGTTGCATTACATCCCGGCTTCCTCCAGGTCTGTCTAAGGTTTTTCCCTTAAGCAGGATTAAGATACTAACAAACAGAAAACACTGGGATTTCCATGCTGACCGTGGAAATATAACCACAGCAAACATTTTTAAACACGTCAGTTATGAGCAGAAGATGTGATGAAAATTGCATATTGTTTACTTTGGGGAGTGTGGGAAAAAGCTGAATATTTTGAACAGATCCACACCGATTATGTATGTTTCATGAACCATAACATCAGTATTACAGCTGGCACAGCTAATTCGATACCTTTCCCTTAATTTGCTGCAATAAACTTTACATCCTCTAGTGTTAGAATAAAAGCATTTTTGTGTGAAAAATAAAATGACTCCCGCGGTGTGATGAAGAGATACACATTTATACACCAAAGAGCTTAGGCTAGAAGATATTTTCATTTAATTTGAGCGATTATTACAGTTGACTCTCTGGGCTACGGACCTCAACACATTTGAGGAAACCTTCACCTCTGGCACACTTTCTCATATTATCTTTGTAAATATGCTGAGCAGTTTGCCTGGGAAAAAAAAAACACCCACAAAAAACTGGTAACAGTCATCATTTTCACACAGTGCACCCAAACAATTTAAATAATTCAGAAAACAGAGGAGAAAATAGCAGAGCGCTCGGTGAAAATAGTGCCGGCCTGAGCCGACATCAATGAAACGGTTGAAATTACGGCAGAACAAAAGCAGAAAAACAAAACTGTTTTATTTTTTATTTATTTATTTTTTTCTGATGGAAGCATCTTCGTGTGACTCACCCAGTGTTTTTACCCTTTCCACGTCATCAAAATGTGGAATAGTGTGATAAACTGGTTTGAAATTGTACCTGACATGCCTGCAAAACCTTAGCATGATGCACTAATGCTTTGCACAAAATAAAAAAAAAAAAAGATTTTCAGCCAGTGTGTAACAGAGTGGCGTGGAATGGTATGTACCTGTGCTGGAACTGATGGTTTCTTTGCCAATGACGTGACCCAGTAAGTCATACTGGTTGAGCCTGGAGCCGTCCTCTGCCACAGAGACAGATCTCTCGTCTCCCTGAGTCCACAGGTAGATCACCTCATTGTTGGTGTACGCATCTGAGTCAAAACGAAAGGATATTAAAAAAAATCCAGCAAAGATGAATTAGATGTTAAAATCTAATTGCAGCAATCTGTAGATTTACTATAGTTACTACATATTAACACATTGATGGCCATATAATAGATAATATGTTTGCACATATTTAAGTAATGCACAGTTTCTCTGATAAAAGCCTGGATGGTCTTCCCTAACCATCATGTCTTTTAACGAAAAGCAAGCACAAATGTGGACCACAGGATGCTTGTTCGCCGACTTTCTGCCCATCTCAGATAAACTCGGTCAGAGCGGGCTGGACCGAGCTTCACTGCAGAGCTTCGCTGCAGAGCTTCGCTGCAGAGCTGTTGCACGGCATCCTTCCCCAGTAATACGGATTTATGGTAAATTTCCTGACTCAGGGGCAGACTGTGTTGAGTGACAATGGCTCTCTGAGGCGCTGCTGAGCCCATGCGGCTATAATGATCACAGTGATTGTTTCTCAGCCTGAGGTCACGCGCGTCCAGCAGCGGGTTTCATCTCAGCTGGGATGAGCTGAGAATGCACAGGCTTTCCTGCAGCCGATTTAGCATCTAGAACTTTATTAAAAATGATAATATTATTTTTTTTTTTTACATTTTGTTACCTTACTAACACAATCTTTACATATTAGCTGAATTTTATCTGATAGTGACAGTGAAGTGGAATAAACAGCTAACATAATGTAGAATATTCAATTGAATGATTCTCACTAGAATTCAGGTGAGGACTTTGACTGGGCCGTCCTAAAACATATATGTGCTTTGGTGTAAATAGTTTCACGTCATACTTTGGGGGGTTTCTCTGCTGTAGGGTGTCACACCTATCTTCCTCTGTCCTCTCCCTCCTGAAGGAAAGCTTTGCCAGAGCATGTTGCTGCCACCACTGAGTCTCACAGTTGGGATGATGCGCTCCGGTTGACAGCAAAATCATGTACTGGATTTTCTTAAGAAAAATTCAAATGCCACGACGCCATGGATTAAAGATTTAATTTGCAAAAGCAGCAAAAGCAACATGTCCTTCAACTTCCACTTCACATTTATGCCCTACTAATAACATACATGGAAATTTAGAGTTGTGATGTGAAAACGGACAAGGCCTGAAATGTTCTGTAAATAGCTTTACTTTCTTACTTGTTTGATTTTGTTTGCATTGTGAAACTGGTTGGATTATGTGTTTTGATCCATGCCATTTAAACAAGTGAACAGATGTTAGATTTTAATATGTTTGAGGAAAAATAACAAAATCTGAGCATAAATGGATGGGATGGAAGTAAAAATTTCCAGAGTACTCAGAAGACCACGCAGATAAACCCACCCCACTTCTGCTTCTAATCTTGCCAGCGGGATAGACGTCGCAATTAGAGAGAGGAAAAAAAGACCTTAATTAAGGCCGTGCAGACCTGCTGCTGTGTCTCTAGTCTTGATTTGCTGCGGCACATGTATGTGTTTATAAATCCAACAAGCTGCCAGACAGAGATTTGAACAGATTTATGGAGAATTTCTTGCTCTGAAATTTCCCCTGCAGACGTTTTAGTGGACCAATGTGCGTTAACATGAACCTACCTCTTCTATTGCTGTGATGAACTACAATAAAGCTTGACATCTGTTCCACGGTAAAGGTATATCAGGAATAAGCTGATTGCTACTTGGCTAATGTTTGCCCAGGCACTTTAACTCTATTATGCATTAGAGTAATATTCCCTCTTTAATGGTGTTTAAATCTCGGTCCTTATGTAGTAAACCTTTGGCTCTGCAGCAGCTGGGTTAAATACATGGGTATTTTTCCAGCTGCTCACAGCACATCTTTCATTACAAACAATAGTGGCTGGAAGTGGTTTGTTATGCAAACAGTTCTGAAGGGCAAAAGGTAATCAATATCTCCTGAGGACAATAACTTTAGTCTGTTTGCTGTGATTATTATTTTTTTCTCCACTGAGCTCTGGACTGGAACACGTGGTGCCGACTTACAACTTCCAAACTTCAGAGGACAGGCGTGTGCATCCATCGGGAAGTCCTCCAGGTGCATGGGGCACTCTGCATGGATGGTCAACCTGAAAGAGCAGAGACACGTTATACAACTAACGGCGGGGTGCAAAAATGTGGAAGCCCACGGCTGCAAATGCAGTGGGGAAAGTAAGTGTTTGATACAATATCGCAACTTCTCCACCTGCAAAGAATGGAGAGATCTGGAATTTGCATTGAGGCGGAGCATCTAGAAATACGAATAATAACAATAAAAAAACAGGGTTTGATTGTCATTTAATAATAAATTCACAATTTGTTGTTTCCTGTCGTTCTTGACCAGGTTTTCCACTCACACAGGTTTCAGCCCACTCTTCCACGACTCATTAAATGAACATGATCAAATGCTTCCTTTCCTAAGCGTACGTCACGAGAAGTTCCACTTTTCGGACACACAGATATTGTGGCAATAAGGCCGAAAGGAGCGTCAAAGACCGAGCTTCAGAAACGCGCCATAAGCAAACAGAGAAACGGCTCATATAGTCTTATTCATGAATGTTTAATCACAAATCAAATCCAAAATGATTCAGAGACTCATAAAACCATTCCTCAGCTGACTAGGTTGCCCATAAATGGACCCAGAATTAGGTTATTCTAACCGAGTTACAGCATTTGTAGTCCATACATCAACTCAGGATTGGGTTACTTGAGAAAAAAAAAAGGAAAAGGACTGTAAAAAAAAATTACAGATTGAGTAAATGCTGCACATAAGCATATTTCTTATTCCTTAACGGTGGTGGCTCTGTTGCCTGTGAAACGCTTTGCACTGTAAGGATCCAGTGCGAACTGTTTTGCTTGTTTAATATTTACACGTGAACAGATGAATTTTTAACGTCTTTGTGGAACTTAATAAAACAAGTCAGGCGATGAGAAGGTTAATTCGGCGGGTTTACTGCGCCACGTCGTTCCACACGTGAGATGAAGACCTTCCACCTTCACTGCAAACTTTGTGTTTCTCATTAGATCCCCAAGTGGCCTTAACAACAACCCTGTGGCCTCAATTTTTCTCTCGCCCCGCTGGTCGCTATCTCGGCGCTACCTCGCTCGCTGATAAGCGTCTCAATAACTTCCCCCAAATTAACTCGACGGAGCGAAAATCAAAAGACAGAATCGCACCGTTGCATTATCGCCCAGCTCTGACATCGGCGTCTAATTGATGTCATTCATCCTGCGCCTGATTGCAACTCACATTCTCCCAGAAACAAAGGTGGCGGCAACACCAGAGTTACTTTGATTGCAAACAAAGACGCGAGAACTAAGTGAAACGTAACTTCACGCAAAGGTACTGAAAGGAACCGGCGCACTCAGAGAGACTCGCTGAGATCACAGCTGCTCCTTAAGCAAAACGTAACGGCGTACAGCTCTGGTTTGAACTTCTTTCAAGGTATCAAGCACATCTAATGAATGTCTGGGTGTGCTTGCCTCAAACCTTAAAATTAAATTCAGAGAACACAAACATGCACAAAACAAAGCCCTTCGGTGGATTAATCCTCTGTAATTAATCATGACAGTCAAGGCGCATTGACTCTTTTAAAAGGTCACGTCTGTAGGAATATTCTTCTGTACAATTCGTTGGATAAAACGGACAGACCACTCACTTGCGTTTTCCACATTTTACATTTAGTAATCTTGCTTGTGCAGCTAATCAGCAGTGAATTGCATAGGGACTCTGGGTCGTTGGCGTACTGAAATTCAACAAAGTACCTCTCAGACGCCTAATTCGGTGCCTTGCGGATTTATTTGTCACCCTTGAATATTAATATTTTCACATTTACCTCATCAGACGAGGACAATCCCTCCATGTGAGCTAGACCCCTGGAAGAGCTCAGTCCAGTCCCTGTGACCCACTGTTGGCCTGTCAAAGCCTAGGGAACCGTAGGTGGCCAGCCAATAACCCGTCATGCTGAAATGTGGCCCAAGCCCCTCTACTGGGGAAACTTTCACAGTTCCCAGGATAATCCCAGCACCACCAGTTCCAGCTGAACAGACAGGGACACAGAGGCAGGGGCAATAGTGGAACATTGCTTTGTCACCTCTGCCCAGGCCTTCCCTTTGGTGTGTCCATCCATGACTATAATAATGCTGCACGGTGCAGTGGTCTAATGCACCATACAGGTAAATCCTTAGACAAAACTGTTTAACCCTTCCAGACCAAATGGAATGCTGGTGATCCGGCCAAATTTGCAGTACTGTAATTCCATCACACTTTGTGCTATCTGAAAAATTTAAATGGTTGAACGGAAATTTCACCCCCACCGTAGCAGGAAGTGAAATTAAACTGAGGGGCGCTTTTAATAGACGGTAAATTGTGAAAATAACTTGCTAGATATTGGAAGTTCCAGTTGTTATGGATAAATGGGCAAATATATATTTAATCACAGGACCTTTAAAGAACTGCATACAATTAAAGTAAGCAAGAATATCCAGGCAGAAATTTTAAATTTAGGTCATAAAGGGTTAAGACTGCAAAAGACTTGTGATTGCAGAAGAGCTTCAACATCCCTGCACATGAAGAAGAGCTGCAACAAGATGGCTGAGATCAAAGTAGAGTGGCTCAGTCAAAGTTCAGACCCAACTCCAACTGAGAATGCATGGAAAGACCAGAGAAAGGCGGCGGTGCAGAAACCCCCCCTTCAATCTGATAGAACCTGAGCTAGTTTACTGACACGAGAAGGCAAACCCTCAGGCACTTGCTGCTACCATTGGAAAGAAAGGAGTTGGTTTTAAAAATTGATTAATGGGGTTTGAATGCAACTCAACATTTCCACATGGGAAGAATCTTGTGTTGGTCTATTGCAGAACATCTGAATGAAATACACTGGAGTGCATGTTCGTAACATGACAAAATGTCATAAAGCTGCATGATCGCATTTGCAACACACTGTTCCTATGTAAGTTGTGTTGGTATTCATAAGATGCTGAGTTTGGTTCATTGCCACTCATTTACATCTCGTTTATTAATTTATTTTAGCCGCAACCTCACGCATTTGTGTTAATAAAGACGATTTAATTTATTCATAAATTCACATTCACTTTCAGGGACAAAGTTGTCGGAGGAAACAGGAGTTGGAGTTGTACTGTTGCGAGCTGACAGTGAGTGATAAATGCTCTCCGAAAAATAAGACTACTGCAGCAGCAGCACTGGCAGACAATAGCGGCTCCCCTCCATTCAAAATAACGACGCAAGCCAGCAAAGCCGAGGCCTTCTGAGCCGCTGCAGACGTGCTGATTAACTGGATTTAAGCGGTTGTCTAGTGAGAAGTGCCAATCAACACCGAGTGCCAAGTCAAAGCTCTCCACATTTCATATAAGATGGATTTGCATTCTAAAGCCTAATACTGTACCTGCGCTGTGAGCAAAAAGTGATACGAGTCTCTACTTTGGAGTGTTACACACTGGGGTTAAACGGGGATTTGCGATGCGCATGGGCTCTGTCGGGTTTGGGCTGCAGCAGGTAAATCCTCTTTGAGTGTATAAACAACAAAATCCAAGTGTCATTATCAGACAAACTGATCTGCACCAACAAAATCCAGCGATGAGCAATATGAAGGACCCTGGGGAAATTGTGTGATTTAGCAGTAGTTTAGCACAGACAGGTTACAAGCACTCAGCAGGGAAATATAAACCAAACCCGTTGTTTTTTTTTTGCACAAATACGACCGATATAAATCTTTGTAGCCCTAAAAAAATTTAAAAAAATAAATCCAGTATGTGCCTCTTCCGTAATGTGGTACTGAATCTGACATGTATTCTGAGAAAAAAACAAAAACAAAACAACTTTTCTCATTTTATTTCCATTCCATATTTAAGGACAACTTAAATACTAAAAACATTAAAAACAATTTTATAAAATACCAAAGTGTGTGCAAACTCATGCAGCAACACCACTGTCGAATTTGATATTTGTTTACGTTTTATTTCAACCCTAAAAGTTTTTTTTTTTTGTTGTTGTTTTTTTAAAATCAATTTTCTTTTCTTAGTTTCTCCAAGAGTGTGTAGACTTTTCAGACTTTATTTTGGAAATGATTTGTGTCTTCCTTCACTATAAAACATGTTTTTTTTTAACAGAAGAAACTTTACAAAGTTAAGTGTGTGAAAAAACTGTGCAATATGATTAAAAGGTATAAGAGCATTTTTCAGTTATTTACATAAACACAGATTGCAGGCTAATCTATTTTTTTTTTAAATGAATGTTATCGTCAAAAGCTGGCCATACTAGAATATATAATGCTTAGGAATTTTTGAAGTTAATTTAATTTCTACTTTGTTGTGAACCTGAATGCAGCATGATGCTTTAAGTGGTTAAAGGGGAAAGCAGAAAAAGTCTAAGGATTTAAAAAAAAAGAATACCAGTAATGTTCCAGGCCATTGAGTTTCCAGATCTCTGCTCATCCGATGCATGTCTGCCTCTCATATACAGTATTATCTGTCAGTGTACAAAGTTGCTTCGCTGATACTCATGTAGAAGTAACAGAAGAAATGGACGGAGCAGAGATGTGAGTGCGTCCTTCAAGCTTTCAGTGAGGAGGTGCTAATTGCTAGCATGGGAGCAAGGTGTTATTTTCTGCTATTCTCTTTCTGTTTCATTGTTCAGTAGTGGAGATGGAGAAGAAAGGCAAAAAATATTAGTAGTCCAGAAAAATATGTCACAGTGAAAGGAAAGTACATTCAATTTTTTATGCAATATTTATTACATTGGCACGTCTTTTTGGGCTTCTAAAGCTTGACCTTAATTTCCACCTTGTTATTATTTATTAGGTCAAATTCTGCCAGCATAGAGTAGGTGTAAGTGAAAAAAATCCCATTCTCTCATGGTGACAAAACTTTGGCTTGTTGTCTTGTTCTGACAGAAGCTGATAACAGAAGTTCTCTGAGAAACTGTTATTGTTTTTCTGAACCTGCAGAAAACCGTGTCTTTTTTTGTTATGAGCCGATGGGAAGTCCCATACTCGCGCACCTGGTGAATATTAAAGACTGACGCATCTTTTCTTTCTTCACTCTTGGATTTGCAGAGAGTCTGTACAGTCACATTGTTTTCTTTGACTCTTGATTAAAATAATGACAGAATGCTTTCTGGGTGTTATTCTTGATTCATTCTTGCTAATTGAACTAGCGTCTCACATCAAAATAAGTTTAATTGTTTTATCTCCTTTAATATTTTATCAAACTGCATATCAAAGAAAGCATATCAATGCTTGTTTTGTTATCTTCAGAATCAAAGCACACATTTCTTTGCTGGTGTTGACAGAAGAGCAGAACCCATTGAGGTCGCAGAGCTAAACTCCACTTCATCTGCACCGAAACTTAATAGAGAACAAATGGATAATAGTGAGCACTATAAGAACCATTTCTTCTAGACGGTCTCATGGAAAGTTGCCTCAAAGATTGAACGCTAGGATTAAACGATATGAATTAATTCTTTCTGGTACGGTACGGTTCGACTCAGTACGGGCGTTCCTTGCTTCATTTTCCACTGCAAACAACACCCGCTCGACACTGGCGGCGTCAGATGTTTACCGTTGTGGTGTGTGTGTGAGCCTTCCGAGAAACACACTCACACACACACAACATCCTTCTGTGTGTGCTTGAATTAGGCTGCGCTACACAAACACTTTTAACCAAAATGGCTAAAAAATAAAGCCATGATACTCTTCGCTGATACTCATGTAGAAGTACGACTAGTGGATGATTTTCTCTCCTTTTGTTGATTTTTTTTTTTTTTATATATTGTTGTCTTTTGTTCAAACTTTATGTTAATGCCATGACACCAGGGCTGCACAAACAAAAACAATATGGCGATATGATTCCTTCATTTTGAAAATATGCAATTAATTTATTCGTGAGCTTTACCGCCATAGCTACATAAAATATACATCAAGTTGTCAGAACCTGGGTTGTTCCGGGGTTTAATTTTGTTATTCTATGTTTGTTAGTGACTTTCTTTGAATAGATCAGCTTTGTTTTTGCCTTGTCTTACTTTAGTCCTTTAGTTACTTTTCTTTTATTAGTCATCCGGTTTGTATTGTCTCTTTCTCTCCCCTCACACCTGCAGCTCATTTCTGATCAGCCATCTGTTCCTTGTTCAGTAACAAACCTCCCCACTATATATGCAACTCTTTCTCAGTCACTCCTGGCTGGCTCCTCCTGTTATCTCCCCACTACTTCCAAGTTACTGCCCTGCTGTGCTTTTCTGTTTTTGCTCTGTTTTGGCTCACTGTGATTTTTTTCATACGTTTTGTTCTTTGTTTTTCATTAAAATATTCATCATCTACTCAACACTGCTCTGCTTTTGGGTTCACCATCGTCACCACAAGTGTGGCCAACAGAGAAAGTTTATCCAGCAAGTCAAATTCAACGTTGGCTATAATATTTGCATGTATGGCTCTTGAAATATTAATTCCAAGATGTCCTTTGTGATCGCAGTATTACTCATGATGATACTGTTATGATGGCCATGATTTCTATCTTGTGCTGCTCAGAAGGATAATGAGGAAATTTATTCAAGGTCTTTATAAATAGAGATAGTGCAAGGAATCAGATGTTGTCTATGTTTTTAAATTGTAGTAAGTGATTTTATGGTTTACAGTTCAGCTTTCAAATAGACTTTTGACAACAAATTATTTCTTGAGATTATTTACTCTTATGTGGCTCTAACTGTGTACAGTTATAGGTTTTTAAACAGAAAGACAGATATTTTTTAAAATCTTCATTCCAACAAATAAAATATTGAGGGAATTATAAGTTCATAGTCAGTGCGGTTCCATACGTCTGTCAATCTTCACACACACACTGACGTTCGAACACATCGTCTCACCTCATTGTATAGAGGAGCGTGCCGTTGTCAACTAGTCGTAGTAGTTTGTTTGGAGTTGTCATGTTGTGGGCCACGGATTTCTTCCCGTTGTGAAAGAAGGTATCGGGCGTCCAGATCTTGCTGGCCAGTAGGTTGTTAAGCGGCAAAACTTGCATTGGACCGTCAAACTTAAGCCTCTCGTCCCTCCAGCTTTGACGGAAGAAGACATCAATGGTATACTCCTACAGGGAGGACATTGGAAACAAAATAGTTAAGAGAAATGTCTCCAGCTGGAGTTTAAAACTGATTACCACAATTACATGGACCAGTCGAGCCACAGTGTGATTAAGGCTAAATTACACTGTGACTAGAATGGACTGGACCTACGGTGTGTTCAGTGGCATATAGTTCTTTCAGCTGGTTATTATACTGATATTAGGATAGCAGTCTGGTTTTCCTTTAGTTAAAAGGCATAACTTATCTATAAAAACATCTGCCTCTAATCCAACAGAATACACTAGAAACTAGATGTGTAGCGATGGACTCTCTTCAGACACACATAAAGACAATTACATAGTCAGTCTTTGATCAAGAGCATTTCTGAAATCAAGAGACTAATGCCACATCAAGATCTTTAGAAACTCAGACATGTGTTTGTCTTTAGCTGAATAAATTACTTCAACAGTGTCTTCACACAGTCAGTTGGACAGCTTCTGCATTTTCACTAAAACCAGGATATCACCTGAGTGATAAAGGCTTTAAGATGCTTTTGTTAGTGTGTAAATGACTGAACATAATATGGAACAGTCCACTAAACATAATATATTGCTTGTTTCTTGATTATTCGAGAAAATTCTGTAGCCATGTAGAGTTTTGTTGTGTGTTGTTCTTCTCTTCTCCAGAAGTTCATTGGGTAACACTTTATTCGACGGGTTGTGAATAAGACGGTCATGAGGAAGTCTTTATGAATATATATGACTGTTGTCATAAAGTCTTATTCGGTAAATCATGACACTTTTAATACAAAGTTTATTATTCAAATGTTTTCTTTATGACAACTTGACATTAACCAGGAAATCATGGTCTGCCATACATTTGTCATAAAAGTATTACTGATTAAACTTTAGCTTTAATAACATAATTTTTACAGCTTAATCAGTAATATTTTCGTAACAAATTCATGTCAGATGATCATTTCTTGGTTAATTATACTTCTCTTTGCTTCCCCACTGTGACATAATGTTTTGCACTTTGAACTGCCTTGTCGTTTACATATAAACTGACTTTATTGTATCCTGTAGACATAAATAAAGACCCGTTTTAGCGCTCGTTTGGCATAAAATTACCATATGGACTGTAATATCAGACACTGATTAAGTTCTCTAAAACACGGTTCTAGAAAACTAAATTGCTTCATTAACTTTACTTTCATAATGACAGACTGCAGAGAAACAACTCATTATTTCAAGACTTGTACAACAAAATATCTTTACTGCTGCCTCCATGGAAAACAAGACTATGATGAGAAACTGCAAGAAGTCAGTAGTCGTAAATTTATTTAATATTAATTACAAAGGCTTAGAGTCCTAAAAAAAAGTTTTGCAGCTTGGACCAATTGTTTAAACGTAACTAGCTGGAAGGAAATGTTCTCTGTCCCATGCAACAGGACGCATTTTTAACTATCAAAAAAAGCTCCACACTTGTTTCTCTCCAATCATCAGAGTATTTTTTTATATATGTATATATTTTTTAAACTCAAAACAGTAGCAAACTTCACACCGGGCAGAGTGTAATCGTCCACCCCCTTGGCAAAAAATCGAATAAATTAATTTCTCAATGGCTTTAACTACGGGAAGTAATCACGCACAGCAGGAGGGGCGTACCACTTCCACTCAACACATCAACGGGGGCTCCTCTAAACAACGCTAATTGATTTGAATGACCTCCTGACAGCGTGACAACCTAGAGCACAACCAGGCAGACTGCATCAGAAGCCCTTTTATAACAGGGCCACAGAGAAACAAAAAAAAGAAGGTGACAAAATTCCCCCCGTACTACTTCCATCTGTTTGTCTTGGATTTTTCGGCTTGATTCTGTTCTAAACACACAAATCTCGAAGATGCTGGAAAAATGAAACGAAGCTATGCTCTTTATTCTTTGTTTAGTCATGTTCCATACAGAAAATAAATAATTAACACAGGCTGAGATAATAATAAAGTAATAATAATTTAAAAAATTCCAACCCTTGATTGTTTTCTGATCTGCACAGAACAATTTGACCAAAACTTCCCAGCAATACCCGGTCATTTCCTGAGACCACAGGTATTGTCACGTTGTTCATTTTCCATGAAATGGCTCCTGGTGAATAAACATAAAAATATATATATATTTGACGAGGATGAAGCCATTATTTGCTTTGTCCCCTGTGGTCAAAAAATCTCCGGTAAGCAGAGAGAAATGACTTAAAGATTGAAAGGCAGGAATGAGGAAAAATGTAGCCAATCTCCACAGGGCCAAATGGCACAGCCGGTTCAGATGCCAGCTGGTGTTCTGCAGGGACTGAGTGATTGATTTCCCCTTGACGGAGGAGACAGCAGGAGCCTTCTATCCCACCATAATTTTTAAATCTCTCTTCTTTCACAGGAAAGAAAATCGGGAATGGATTCGCCCCCATAAACATTGGTATTCTAGGCTGCATTTAAGAAAAATCTTCCCTTTTTTAATATGTTTACAGTTTTACAGAACCTATTTAACCCTTTATAGACAACTTTGGTTTTTTATATATATCCGACATAGACACCACAAATCATAATTCCATGCATTAAAGAAAAAAAAAGTGAAATTTTGTAAATGTTGTTCCAGCTTTGGCACTAACCACTGACATCAAGCATTTGCAACTACTGGCAATAATTGGTTTTCATCTCTGTTGAGGAATGGTGGCACCAGTTTTCTTTTCTACAATTGTTTTTTCTGTTTTTCATCATCAAGATGGGTCCTCTTTGTTCAGCAGACGACTTTACCTCAAAACTATCCTCTTGATGCTATTTTTATCCACTCTGTTTCTTATTGGTGAAATATGAACACTGACTTTAGCTGAGGTAGATGAGCGCTTTAGAAGTTGTTCTGGGTGAGTAATTTTTGCAGGCTGGTCACTGCTGGGAACGCCCCCCACTGCTCCACGCTTCTCCTTTTGAGGATAAGGATTCATTATGGTTTACTGCCATCTTAAAATCCAAAGCATTTGTAACTGTTCCTTAATTTAACTACATATCTATTCTGACCGTAATAATAAAAATATTTACATGATTTGAAACGTTTGAAATGACAAAAAAAAAAAAAAAAAAAAAACAACAGGCGAATACTGCAAGGGGGGCATCATTTTTTCATATCACTCATTATTAGAGTTTATTATGAAGGATGAAGGAGAGTTGAAGGGGATTTTACATATAGAAACCAGCAAAGTAAACAATAAAGAAGGTAAATAATATACTCTATATGTTTACGTACATGCACAGGCTACAGAGGCAACCAGGTTTCATCTGACAGAATATGATTAATACCCTCAGATGCCCTGAATGCAATAACAACACATTTGTTTTTAATGACTTTTATGATGCGTAGCTTGGAAGTAACTCCTGTTTGTTCAGAATTTCAACCCTAATTTCATTTAGTATGATAATGACTCCCAGATATGGTGCCTTTAGATGCAGTATCATGATCCCGCCTTCTTCGTCACAAACAAAACACTTCAGATTATTCTCATTTAATTAGAATCCAATGCTTACATTTACAGTTTGCAGACTAATGAGCTGAAATAAATAACAAAAGAACACACAAGGGAGCAATGTTGCTTTTCTCTCGATTGGAGGATGTTTTAGATGCCAGACATCAAGCAGAACTTGGTAAAGGTGATACCCACAAAGGACCTTGCTGTCTAAAAAAAACAAACAATGCCAGTGAAGAAGCTTCAGTCTGCATTCAGGCAGGACACTTGTACAGTGACACTGGGTTTCAAATCAGACATTTACCACAGAATCATAATATCTCACATTATGCTTTCTGCTTTGTTGTCTGAACAAAAGGATGTGAGCCGGAGCTTACTGCCTGTTGGAATTAGCAACCTGGCTGTCGAGTGGGTCAAAAACAAAAACACAGTCATCTTTAACGTGTGGTTGAAGGCGCTTCGTGTGAACTGGCTGGAAATGAGCCAATCCATGATTTGCATGATAAACATTAGCAGGTCAATACAGAGGTGCAGTTGTTTCTTGCAGCTCAGTCTGATGTTAACGTTTTTTTTCTTCCCCTAAAGAGAGGCCATTCTTTCCTACATCCTGAGGACAAGAGGATACATGTTCAGCTGTGGAGTCAGCCGTCTTCCACAAGCTGTCTGCTATCGTCCGTACGTCAACCAAAAATTTACTGAAGCACGAAAAAGGCCTGCAATCATTCTCCAGTATGTTTCACAATGAAGTATAAATCCTTGGTCTGAACGAAACAGGCCTTTCATGTCTTCAAGTCGGGATTAATCTCTGAGGCCTGTCCGCAGACGCTGCTGGACCGTTATCGCGGCGTTTTGCATGAAAAAAAAGTGCAGATGGAAAAAAAGAAATTAAAAATCAAAGGAGAAAGATGTGAACGTCACACATCTATAAACGTGTCCTTTATAGATATTGGTCGAAGCTCGAAAGCGGTCGCTGGTGGCGAGGCCGAAACTAATGAGGATGAAAGGAGATGATGAAAACGACAGAAAGACCTGATAAGATGGCAGTTAAGGTAGGATGTGCAGCCGACTCCACCAAATGAGTCTGCACATTAAACAAATGACAGCGGCCGATTATGGCAGGAAGGTTGTGTCTGATAGAATATTAAAGGAGCTTTTTATCTGGAATAAAGGAGTTCATGAAGTTTAACTGTTACATCTCATTTCAGTAACGCCACTTTGCTTTAACGCTCTCTGTAGATCTGAACGCTGTTTCTACGGCTTGTTTTTTTAACGTTTCAAATTATGCACCATAGTTCTAGCTTTCTTTCATTGAAATCCGTTTTTGAAGCCGCTGAAGTTTGGGAGCAATTTTTTTTTCAAAATTTGCAGATTTGATGCATCGCTTTTGATGACTTTGTTATGTGGAGGAAAAGAAACTCACCAGCTGTTTTTCCACTGAAATAGCTTGGATGACAAACGACGCCTTGTTTGTATCTGCACACAGCAGGCCAGGGTTAACATTGCGTCTCGATTGTGCGG